CTTTAAAGATCAATTTATTTATGAAATTACAATAATAATGAAATAATCGATTTATAAAATAAATTATTAAATTATTTCGAGTTTATAGAATTTAAAAATCAGTATATAGCTTATATAAAGATAATATAACATATGTAAATAAAATGACTATTACGCGATTGGATGCGGTATAACATGGTTTTATAAGTATAATTTTCCAAAAATAAAAACTCCGTTAAACTAATTAGTTTACAGGATTCGATGTAACTGTCGAAATGAAAATAAAATGTAAATGAACTTAATGACATTTTGAGTTAAATGGACATCCTGACTTTGATACATCACAGGAACATCCGAACAGACCCACCCACCATTCCGGATTCTTATTTAATAAACTAAGAACAAACAATAAAATTGATACTATGAAGCCCCAAAAAGAATACCAACCATGTAATATTGAAGGATCGGTTAGGTCTCTTTCTCCTTTCAATTGCCATAAATATGCTAAAATGCTATTAAATGACCATATTACACAGATTGTCGTGACATACTTGCTTCGACAAGCGAATCCGATTGGGGGTGTGAAGTAGGCTAAAAATGGTGCAAGCCAAGGAAGGGCTATTGATATAAAAGCAAACAATGTAACGGTAACACGTTTATGTCTTCTAAGATCCGGGTTGTTAACCATAGTTATTTTTGTATCGTTAAATACTCTTCTAGGATCCTTGACTACCAAGCTTCCAGAAATTATTCTTCTTATGAGTGCTGGAATTGTCCAGGTCAATAATAATGGTATAAACGGCCAATCTTCACAAGTGTGCGATCCAGTCGTCCTAGATATTCCTGCTATTACACCGGCCGAAACATAATACATAGATATACCAGCTGAAAATTTTTCTATAACTGACACATTCACTGTGCATCTATCTAGATGCTCATCTATATCTTGATCTTCTTTAGGTTCCATATAATATAATCCAACAGGTCTGTATTTTGGTTCTTTATCTTCGTCTGTAATAAAGTTTTCTACTGGAAGCCAAAATAGGCAAAGAGGTAATTCTTTGTCTCGTATGTTAACAGCATAAAAAACTCCCATAAATGGGCAACCAAGACATCGTAACATCCATATTAACTTTTCTACAAAGGTATGCCTCGGTGATGCACCCGCTATTGCTATAGCGGGTAAGCAACCTAAAACATATTGGGGTATAGGTTCCTAATAACTTATTTGCGAGCTGCAGAAAATCCGTCATTGAGCTAGTAATTAATTAATTAAAGTATTGTTTTTATTATTTTTTTTAAAAAAAATAAAAAAAATTTAGACGGCAAACTTGGCATAAAATCTATTGTGCACGAGTGAATGTTTTAAATCATACCTATACTTTTGTACGTTAAAATTAGCGTTTACTTCACAACACAAATCAC